GAAAATACCGTAGTGGTGCATCCTCAATAGCGTTTCTCAGCATTTGTATATACTCGTGAGTGTTCTTGGCACTAGCTTCTGGCATTTTCGGTATGGAGTTTTGAAGAAATCAAACTTTCCATTGACATCCTTGATGGTGCGTTGGAAACTTGTATTGCGCTTTGATGGCCAAGTAGAATGTGTGGTAATTCATGCGGATCAAAAATACATCAACGCCAGTCACCCGGGTGTCTTCGAGAAGCACCATTGCGTAATGATATGGAAGAATGTACCCTTCAACGATTGCTATCCAAATGCCCTAGTAAGATACATCCAGTTAGGAGTAATTTGAACCGGTAAATGCTGAGTGAATGGAAGTGAACTCTGAAACCTGCAGGTAAACGGAGGCTACGTAGCCGTGGGTGAGATCAAATGACGTATGCGAGTGGTTTTAACCCCGAGGCAATTAAAGCAGAAAATGTTCATGATGGGAAGTGGGACGTTACATTTTGGCGTACCAGCAATGTTGTGGAATGTAGGTCGATCGGGTGTGCTGTTTGGTTGGTCTGTTCGCCAAGCTTGGCAGTTGGATGGCAAACGTTTCATCACCAATCGAGGTGACATCGTCAGTGCAGGGTTCAGTGGGTGAATTGCGTACCGTTTATCCTTCTCGGTGGTTATCGTGTATCAATCGTACAGATACTTCACACGATATCAAACATATTTCTAGTAGAATCGCACACTGAGGAATCGTTTTTAGGACTTCTAATCCTGCTTTGACCCTTTTGTGTTCACTACACACATGAACCCTGGAATTTCCGTCCTTTTGCGCTCGCTGCCTATTTACAACGATCTACTTGACCAACTACGGTTTCGTTTGTATTCGGCATGGATCGCATGCTGAGAAAACATATGTGCCTATTTTTCTCTTGAGCCTTTCGGTGTAAGGGTGTTATAAGAACATCATCAATATCCTTCAAATCTTTGTGGAAGAGGGAAGTCCAAAACCTTTTAGTGGCCGAATGATGCCGGTCCTGAGAATCTGGTCAGACCCAGCTCCGACAGGCTTCATTTGTTTGGTGCAGGCCGGACTGATGTTGCGCGAACAAGTGAGATATTTCGTCCAGTTTTACACTGCAGGGTACCTGGTATAAAGGACAGTAAATCTTGTTACAACCGTGTAAGCTAAGTCAGGATTATAAGATATCAGTGGGACATCGGTTTTATGAGCACGTAACTGGCCGAAGCACTGCGTGAAAAATATAAGCAATAACCGCGCAGGTGCAGTCATTGTTTCAACTGTGCGACTCTATCGTTTGCTGGTTTCAGTTCTGGTACAGAAAAATGCAGTATTCAAGAAACCAAGAGGTCTTTCCCTCATGACCTGTAAACAATAAATCGATACCATCCCACCGACTAAAACTGGTGCGTTGTGACTATGTGTTCTTGAACAATCAACCATCTGTACACTTTACTTGATTGTTGAGAAAAAATAAGCGTCGATTCATAACTAAAAATGGCGGCTTGAGCAAATGTTACGGGATTTGATCAACCAAATCTATTGCATCCTGTCTTGAAATCGTGTCAGTGCTTTCCTCCAAGATTTCCTCGAGATCAAGAAAAACCGATACTTGATTTTACCTGATTCTTGCAATAGTTGCTTTCTGGCATGGGTTTTTTACTCTGCATGTTGAAGCACATTCTCAGTGCAGAAGACTACGAGGCAACACATCATGGGATTTTTACTATTCATAGGGTGGTAACAGCATAACAACAGTGATAAACCCTGCATAAATACGCCATTTTCATCTGTAGGCTACATTCCGCTGTGCAGAGTGGAGTGCCAACTCCATGGACACAGAAAAAAGCAAATTCTCAGACCTCGGAGATCAGTAAATGGAAAACCCACTCCCCCTTTCTTACCTCCGACGTTGTATTTTGCTACGGTTGCTACATGTTTGTAGAAATCCTCCAAAGTCGGCCACCAGTTACAGGCTGTAACTACGCTGGGTTGCCGCTTTTAGGTACTAGAGGTGACAAAATCCGATCCTACGTAAGGGGAAGAACAGGCTGTAACTACGCTGGGTTGCCGCTTCTAGGTACTAGGGAGGTGACAAAATCCGATCCTACGTAAAGGGAAGAGCAATCTGAATCAAACCAGTCGTCATTTTTGCCTAATTGAATGCCTGGTCCGGGAACAGTTTTGAATTGATTTTATCTTTCCGTCTTAGTTGGGGTAACCTTGCATGCATAAACAGGACATCCAAACCAGTTATTTTATTCTCTGGCTACTCGTAGTAATAGCCGTAGGACGCTTTAAACGAACTTTTAACCCTGGTGGTTCTACTTTTGTCTAGCTGTTCTCAAAAGACCGGGTACCAAAATGTCTTCTTGCTGCTTTCCGTTAAAGACAATTAGGTGGGACGGCTCACAGCAAGGTGGAGTGGAAGCCAACACCAACTTTCATAATATTTTTTTAGCGGCAGTCACTTAATATCCCAAATAAACGAGTGGCAGGATTTCTAAGGAGTACCCCATACAAAATCGCGAAAGGCAACTACTTAAAAACATCAATGTATACAACAAAGTGAGATGCTGCCAAGTTTTTGCTCAAAGAGAATGCTCGGTATTGCGGCGGGTCATCTTCATTTCGTAAACATTTCTGGCGGATAGAATGAGTCATTTAGCATAAGACCTACTTGGCAGTGTAGGAGTAGTTTTCAGCCATGGATTCGTTTTTTATAGAACGCTGTCTTACCGAATTTCGTGTGAGTCCCATAAATAAGAAGCACTACCAAGACTTAGAAGATGCCAGAAATTTTATGCCAAATTTTATCCGCAACTCGGAGCCTAGTGATGATACCATTTATTTTAATGCCAACAGATTTGTGGTTGCTTCTGATCGTTTTTGTGTTGGATTTTTGCCCTGATGATTCTATCTATGTACAATCAAACCGGGAATCAGGTCAGTCCTTATTATCGACCTCGACAGAAATATATTACAGGAATACGGTGATGCTTAGGAATCCATGAAACCATGAAGAAGAATGCCCTAGTGTAGAGTGAAGAGAAGCGAAGATGGTGGATGCAATGTCAAAACTAGGAAGTTGTCAGTATCCTACAGCATTCACAGTGAGATTTATTTATTTTGCGTTTCCAAACCATAGTTTCTTCACTTCATGAACTCTTTAAATAAGAGTTTGTAGCAAAGACAGTTCACTCTTTGGTAAGTGGTGGTTCTGTATGTTCATTGAATGTCTTAAACACCTTAAAATGACGAGTGATTGCACTCTAGTGATTCTGATGCGCCACTGAGCGCTCGCCCACATACCATTTCTCTGTGAACATGTTGCAGCCAGAGAGAGCCTGATCTTTCACTAGGTAGTGCTTGTTAAAATGCACGAAGTTAAAAGTCCTCAGGAGCGGTCTTCACAACCATGGAATGGGACTGTTCATAGAGGAGCCTTGTACAAACGGTTCATGGCCTCAGTACAATCCGTTTATCCAGCGCAGATGGCGCGAGTTCGCAGATAGCGCTCACACCCCTACCGAAGTACAATCGAGGTTTACGCAACTGACAAGATAAGTAAGATAGTCTGCATATTCGAGTTACATTCCATGAAGTTCCAGTAGAACACAGGGCCTGAAAGTCCTGAACCGACACTTCGAAGATTTAAGGCGCATACCGGAACAAGGAATCACTCTCAAAATTCCCTTTAGAGAAGACTGGACTGGTTATCATCAAATACCAAGACCATGTCGTCAATACAGCCCAGAGCTAATAGTTTCTGGTTGGTCTTTTAATACTAAGATCATCCATACGATATCAGCGAAGAAAATTGAATGAAGAGGAGGCGATAACACAGTACTCTCAAACCCATCATGCGTAGGAAAACTTTTCGGTAATTAACTGTGAACTCACACAACCAGAAATGTGGGCAGAGTGAGCACGAACTATATTCAGAAACTTCAGAAGTAGTGCTCTTCCGCCAAGCACATGTAGAAAAGCCTCCCTATCTTTGGAATTAAGGGCTATTTTGAAGCCCAGCAAAACCCGTGTAGCCTTCGGTGCATTTGGCCCTACTAAGGCATCTGACATCACATTAAGATACGATAGATGTCCCTCCCCATCGGCGGTATTATTGAAGTCGTTGGCTGCTTCCATGCTTCAAACAGTCGCTTCGTGTGTCTTTTCCTAACAGAGGTGGGATAACGTATTGGTCTCGTGTCTTGAGTGCGTCATGTTCTTGAATACGTTCAAAATCAATTCTGCTTCCGGTTTGTTTCCTCATTGTCCCAATGGTACCCACGACTGCCCTCGAGGTGGGTTTTTCTTGACGGAGTTTACAAGCACTTCTTCTGGTCTGTATTGGGCGCCTACAAGTCTAATGCGAGGCTAAATGGAAGCCACCCAAGCCAGTGTTAACTGTAGCAAATGAGAGTGGTGGGTAAACACGCAGATCACTTTTGGTAGTCACTGGCTTACCCAAACCTGGTGAAGTAACACTACCTGCCAGCACTAGTCTTTCAACGTAGAGATATTGGCGCCATACGTCAGTTTCTAACGTTTCTTTAAGATACCATATTTCTCCCAGACACATTAATAGTTTTCCTTGAGAACGCTCATTGCCACGTGATTTAGGCGGGAGTGGTTAGCCAGGCTGCAAAACAATAGTCGGATGGCTACTGACATTGTCGCCTAGTAGTATGACGATGCAGCGTAGCAGGTGCTGGCTGAAAATGTGAACAATTTTAACTCAGGCAATTATCTGGTGCTTATGTGGTAAGCTGGTGATCGAACAGTTTGATCCTACTCAGGTACGTTTGCCAACAAGCCACGAGATCAATGTAGCTATTTTTGTGGCCAATACAGTATAACCATTTTAAATGAGCTGCTTGCGTTCGGGCACCGAGATGCGGCGGGGCTCGCGCAGATAGCAGCGTACGAGATCTCGTGTTTTCAAGTTATTAAAGTGAGATTAATCAGTCACAGCGGCGGAGGTTTTAGTCCCAATTCCATCCTTCGACAAACTGTATAGATAAACAGCTCGTCCAAAATGAGTTATTTGGCGTTCTGGGCCACTCGTTTTACATGACTTATCCAGTTTGTCTTATCGTGCATCATGGTCCTAGTAACCCGTAAGAAGCGAGACCCAAAGAAACTAACGCATGTAAACATTTAGAGTGGTTGGCACTCGTTTTACATGACTTATCCAGTTTGTTTTATCGTGCATCAAGATCCTTGTTACCCGTAAGAAGCGAGACCCAAAGAAGCTAACGCATGTAAGCATTTAGAGTGGTTGATTAAACCTTGAGTCATATATCATGTTTATATTTTAGTACTCCAAGTGACGAAGTATTCTTTTGCCCAGATCTCGACTGTATAGCGCTTAAGGCGCGATAAGTAATCCGGCGATGAAAAGGAGAAATGTACCATAGGAAATAGATATGCAGACTTTAGTAATGTGCAATCTCAATCAGCTACAAACAGCACCATGATTAGCCAACTGGTGAATCATGACTACATGGAATTGTGGGGGGGGG